TATATCAATTGAAATTTAATTTTATAGAAAATAAATATATTTTTGCTTACCATTCTATCATGAAGCCAGCCCCAAAAAGGTGACGATATAGCATATATCAGACCACAAGAAGAAAATAGCAGTCCAATATAGAATTTTGACAAATCCGTCTGTAAGAAAAAAACACCTAATTACTTTTACCATTTTAAATTTATTCTTCAAGAAACGTAAGGAATATTTAAATTTACAGATTTTCTTTAATTGAGGAAATAGGTGGTCATATTCTGTAAATTTATTACCAGAAGCTAATATTGTCAAAATTGGAATATGTTTAAACGTTAACAAAATTGAGAAATTTCCAGAGTAATTAAAGAGGAATTGAAAGAGAGCTGTTTGAGTTCGAGAGTTACTTTTTAAAACCATAATAAGTATTAGATTAAGACCTCCTCGTTCATCCAAAGTTTGAAAAAACTAATTAAAAGAATTCGTGCTCGATGCACTTCGAAATTAGTTATAATGGAGACGCTCTGTATCCAAACAAAGTATCCAAAGTATGAAAAAACTAATTAAGAGAATTCGTGTTCGATGCACTTCGAAATTAGTTATAATGGAGACGCTTTGTATCCAAACAAAGTATCCAAAGTATGAAAAAACTAATTCAAAGAATTCGTGCTCGATGCACTTCGAAATTAGTTATAATGGAGACGCTCTGTATCCAAACAAAGTATCCAAAGTATGAAAAAACTAATTAAAAGAATTCGTGCGCGATGCACTTCAAAATTAGTTATAATGGAGACTCTTTGTAACCAAACAAAGTATCCAAAGTATGAAAAAACTAATTAAAAGAATTCGTGTTCGATGCACTTCGAAATTAGCTTTATTGGATACGCTTTGTATTCAAAATGAGAAAAAACTATTCAAAAGAATTCACGCTCGATACTCTTCAAAATCAGTTAAAATGGAGACGCTCTCTATCCTAAGTATCCAAAGAATGAAAAAACTAATTAAAAGAATTCGTGTTCAATGCACTTCAAAATTAGTTATAATAGAGACACTCTCTATCCAAGGTATCTTGAGTATGAAAAAACTCATTAAAAGAAGTCGTGTTCGACGCACTTCAAAATTAGTTATAAGGGAGACGCTCTCTAACGATATAAAATAGCGTTTAGTTCATGATATCTTTATAAATGCTGTGAGATCAGAACTTTTATTTGTAATTGTAAAGCATATGTCTTCAATGCGTAGCCCGCGGGCAATTAGTGGCTCTCGAATAATATTTTAAGGATCCGCCGCGTGATCAGATTCAGCGTTAAACAAACCTACACAGAAATTTTTATTAGGGCATATATTACTTAACTAATGCAAAACTTCTCACGCTTTCTAAAGTTTTTTAATTATTGTTTGAGAGTCGTGGTGGCTCAGGGGATAGAGCATTCGCCTTCCAATGAAGTGAACCGAGTTCGAATGCCAGTGATGGCTGGTTGATAAGGATTCCGCATCTGGGTTGCACCGACCACAGTGCTGACGTAAAATATCCTCAGTGGTAGACGGATTATGAGTTAGAGTTCCCTTGCCGTCAGGCTAACCGTGGGAGGTTTTTGTTGTTTTCCTTTTCATGTAACGCAAATTTGGGTTAGTTCCACCAAAAAGTCTTCCACGAAGGCAATTTGCTCCCAATGCTTGATCCAGGAGTTCCCTTGTCTTCTAGATTGGGTTCAAAATTACAAGGCTACGGAGTTGAACATTAGTGGTCTTAAACCCAAAATTGGGTCGGCTGCTTAATGACGGTTATAAAATAAAATTATTGTTTGAGTAAGTAAACTTATTTTTTTACATTCAGTAATTGTATTTTCGAACCGTTTTAAAAGTGAAAAAAAAATTAGTTCTAAATGTATGGACAAAATTTTACTTGCTTCTTCTATCGTATTCCTTATTACTGTTTCAGAACTAAAATTTCGTCACGAAAAAAAAAAGATTCAGAATAAAAGTATTATTAACTGCTTTAATATACCCAATTTAGAACGAATTACTTTTTTTTAAAAAAAAAGTTATTAATAAGTAAATGAATAAACCCGCTGCGAAATAAAGAGTAATTAGCTGATTTATAACCATTTGAGCAAATTTGACTTCTGACCAATTGAATATAATCCTTAACCGGAATTCTCAAATAATTCATATATTTGATTTCAAAATTTTTTGAATTCAAATAATTAATACATTCGGTTTCAAATAATTGGTTTATGATCAGCAAGTTTAAACCATTGAATGAAACCTAAATAAAATTACATAAGTTCAAGAGTCTAATTAAAAAACCAAAATAGAAATCCAAATTGAAATCCAAGTTCCAAGTCTAATTGAAAATTGAAATCCAAGTTCCAAGTCAAAAATTACATAAGTCCAAAAGTCTAATTAAATAACCAAAATAGAAATCCAAACTGAAATCCAATTTCTAAGAATAAATGAAAATTGAAATCCTAGTTCCAAGTCAAAAATTACATATGTTCAAAAGTCTAGTTAAAGAACCAAAATAGAAATCCAAATTGGAAAATTTTTAAAGTTCAGTAAATCAATTTTATCAGTAAATCAATTAAAAAGAAAAAGAGAGAAAATTCAAATGAGACAAGTGCAGATGAGTCGATGAAATTTTATTTCATAATTTTGTAAAGTTTTGTAAACAATTATGAGAGCTAAAGCTTAGCAATTGAACACAAAATAGGGTGGACCATGAGTAACATGGCGAACCCACTTACATATGCCTATGGCTTAAAACAACGATTCGATAAGAGAAAGAACAATATCATTAAAAAAAATCATCGTGTCAGTTAGGTTTTTTTTTTCTGGGCATGTCTCAAAATGCATGTATAAGAAAATGGAAACAGCTCAAAATGCGTGTTCAAAAAATTGGGCATAACTATTTAAGAAAATGATGAGACAGCATTAGATTCCGTTTTTCAAACTTCTCTTAATTTTTTTTTTCTTTTCTTAAAAAAAATAAACTAATGGATTCAGTAAATTCGCAATGTGATGTTATCCATTTGCCTAAATCACTCTAGTACAAAATTAGTAATTTTACTTTTTTCAAATTTAAATAATGAATTTTCTTTTATTTTTCAATCAATATTCTAAGTTTTTATTATATTAAAAATTATATTCTAATTTATTTTATTTTAATTTATTATATTTAAAATTATATTTTAGTTAATTATATTTTAAAAAATTGTGTATTATAAGAAAACAAAAGCAAATACTGTGTAACAAAATTTGTATTTTCAGTGACATAATCCTTCTCAGTTATAAATAGTTCTTTTCAATTTATCCCTTCCTTCCTTCAATCTTTTTTAACAAGAATTAAAATGTAATTGTAATTATATTTTTAAAATTAAACTTATTAGAAACTTAAAATATTCGTTGCGAAAATAAAAGAAATTCAGTTAAACTCATTAAAAAATAAATTACTAAATTACTAAGTAAATAAATTACTAATAAATAAATTTTCTTAATTAACTTTTTCTTAATTAACTTTTCTTAATTAACTTAATCTTTTAATTAAAAAACAAAAATAATAAAAAATTTCTTAATTTTTTTTTTAAATTTAAATTTTGTAAAAAAAAATTTAACTTAAAAAATACCATTAGACATACTGAATAGTTCTCAATCTTGTTAGAACACAAATAAAAATCAAATGCCGCAGTTTTACTATGAGCTTTAAAAAAGCTTTAAGAACCCCTACTATCATTTGATTATCATATTACATAATCAAAATTATTACAAAGTATCTAAGCATTTGTAGTATTTCAAGTAAGCTGATGCCATTGATAGGAACCTAAATAAAACTACCTAAGTTCAAAATAGAAATCCAAATTGGCAAATTTTTAAAGTTAATTTAACTCTTTTAATTTTTACTTGGCAGTAAATACGTTCTAATAATACGTTTCAAATTCAAGTTGAAAAAAAAAAAATTTAAAAACTTGAAAGAATATATATTATAATAATAATAATACAACATAGATATATGTATCAACATATATAACTATACTTTTAAGGTACTTTATTGTCGTAAGAGATGTTCCCTAAATCCCCAACATTAATTTCAAAGGACAATAAAAGAAATTACTTGTTGTTTTACATTCACCATCTGCACAAAATATATTTACCTGCCGCGTATGTGGCTCCAATCCTACTACCATATACCCAATGAAACTAGAAGTTGAGAAAATGCTGAAAGCAAAAATTAATATTTTGGGTTTCATCCATACTTTGAAAATGTTTCTGAATTTCGTAGGTTGTTTTTCCTTTCTTTCTGAAAAAAAATAAGTAGAATATAATAACTATATGATAGAATTAATGAAAAAAAGATTTTAAAAAATTAAGCTAATAAGAAATTAAGAGAATTTGCTGACATGGTCGATTATCTCTAGAACTAACTGAAATTTAATATGTACATACATTGGTACAATACAAAATCGCAACACACAAGCATGATCGTTGGAAGGTATGAAACAGCGGTTACCGAAGTATGGTCCCTTCTTACAGGCCTTGCATACTTGAAATAAGACAGTAGGCCTGAATTTCATACCTTCCAATTTATACCCGATCATGAGTGGTTATTTGTTTTGTATTGTATGTACATATCTTTCAGTAGTTCTAGAGATAATCGACTTACACCAGTTCAGTTTTATTTTTGCCTTCGATCAATCATACTAAAAAATAATAATAATAATTTGAGTCCCCCATAAAAAGAAGAAATGGCACCAAATGTAAAATAAAGTCTTGAAAGCATGCAAAACTTTTTGATATAGATTTAGACGCGTTGAATGGCACTTACTTTGAGGTCACGTGTGTGCGAATGTTATTCCCTCTTCATCCCCGAAAAAACATCAGAAGGAATAATGAGAATAATAGATCACCGATGGTTAATATATTTTTTCTGAGACTTAATTACTTGAAATTATTACTTTACAATTATGTTGGCCCGGGGTATTAAGATTGGGTAGCTAATTAACAATCCAGAGGCCTTTACGACTTGCTCTCTTCGTTGAAAATTTTCCTTTTGGCTGTAGTTGATCCCAATTATACTGCAAGCTGTTATTTTTATTAAAATATGTTACCTGAACTATAAAGAAGTCAAAGATCATGTTTTTTTTTCTTTTAAGAAAATACCAAACATGAGAGCGGATCGCTAAAGGCCATTGGATTGGACAATATCGATCGGGCATGTATTTTTAACCCTTAAATTAGTACCCGACCCAACAAGTAAATTTTCATACAGAAATACAATGAAACGCCCCCATAAATTTTGACAAATATCGCGAGAGATGCCGGATGGCGTGTATAAACGGTAGTAAAGTGAACTAAACAATTAGGTTTGATAAAATTCAAATGTTACTGACTGAATTGAGTTATAGGAATGAGAATTTATGAAACTAAGTTAATTTATTCTTTTTAATCCCCTAGTCAAATTTATTTTTATTCAAAATAAAATTAGCCCAATCATTATGCAATGTGAACGAAAAACGTAAGAGCGACATCGAACTTTATAACTCTTACATGAGATCAACTTCAAATATTTAAAGAAATTCAAGCAAGTAAAGTATCTTTTGAAATTCATTCCCACATAATTTTTAGTATTTCGCTTCGCTACTGTTTTGTTTTGTCTCTCGGGATAAATAAGAGAATTATTCAGTAATAGATATATTGCTAGTTTATTGTTTTTTAATAAATTGAAATGAAAACTTGGCTATTTTCAGCATTTTTGTCTCTCTTTAATACTTTTTATGATGATTTCATGTGTGTAAAAGTTTCATTAGGTATGTATTTTTAAGAGTACCATAACTGACAGGCATACAAAAATTTTGAAATTTTTCAAGATCTACTATTTTATATGTATAGCATTTATTTATTGTTAAATGTATTTTTATTTCTTAAATTTTAAATGTTTTTAAATTTACAGTCCCTGGCCAATTTATTAGAAGCATTATAAGATTCTATGTAAAATTTTAATTATCAGGTGATACTATACAGCTTTATTGTTTATATTGTTATTCTGATATTATTGAGTTTTACTGTGATCTCCAATGCAGTACCCCCAGTACTCAGTCACCATTTAATACACGGGGAGTCTTCGGCAGACGGGTTTCGAACCCACGAACTCTCGGACATGGGCTCAGCGCCCTATCGACCAGGCTATCCCGGCCTCACAATAATCCCTTATGAATTAGAAGCAACTATTAGTCTATCAACTTGGTTATGTATTCGGTGAAATACAATTTATAAGAAACAATGTCTCACTTGTCTAGATAGTCTAGTTTTAGCCTCCCCTTGCATCCTTCAGTAAAATGGTGGTTCAAGTTCGCCTAGGGGAAGAACCACTTCAGTGCTACTCTAGAGTAGCATTAAAGTGGTAAAATAAAGTAATGTAGTGTGTAGAACTGGGCTATAAATCGATATATCGCGACATATCGATTTAACGCCTGTATCGGCAGGCCGATACAGCGACTTTCGTTCCAAGCGATGCATCAGATATCTGATTTAAGCCGTCGAGTAAAGAAGACGAACGATATAGCGATATACGATATAGCGATGCAGGACACGCAAGGATCTCTTACGTTCCGACGTAACTCGCGCTGGGGAAGACGATGTACGTATCGTTATACTGAAACGGCCTTGATTGATGAGCGGTAGAATCAAAATCAGTTTTGAGAACATATATCGTAATCTCGCATGTTCGTTTCCGCACCTCTTAGTTTTTTTTTCTTCTTTGTCGCGACTTGATATCGTTTCTTGTAGATTATTTTCTGACTATTTTTTTTTATGTAGACTATTTTTTTTAAACAAAACTTTCTTTTTTATTTTTAAATGTGAAAATTAATCTTGATAATATATGCTTAAGTATTATTTTACATTATTGAATTTATTACAAACGGAAATCTAAATTAAGGTGCCCATAAAGAATTAAATTAAAAAGTAATTAAATTTGTTAGGCTATTTTTTACTTTATTTTAAATTATTTAAAACTTTTTGGAAAAAATAATAATTTAATGGGTTTTTATTACTGATTTTAAATTTATAAATCTTTAGTTGTTTTCATTTTTATAAATAAAATTATAACAAAACTTATTTTTCCTCTTTTGGATTTGGACATAAGTCAATCAACTTTGTTTATTCAAAAAAATTAGTAATGTTTGCGATTGCGGCTTCTTTTTTTAAAATCATTTAGCAATTCGTTTTATTAAAGAGTACAATCGTGTTTTTTAATTTTCTTTCAATATTGTCAGTTGAATATATTATCGAATATCATAATTCTTTTGTTTTTATTTTTAAGAAATTAAACCTTACTTTGTTTTTTCGTTTAGAATTCGGTAATTATTCAATTTAACTTTGTTATTTATGTGAAATAATAATGATAAAAAATAGCGTTGTTTTAAAAGTGTTTTTTTTGTTCAATTAATTTAGCACTTTGTTTTAAGCATACAAATAATTTTTAACGAACTTATTTTTTAAATTTTATTTCTATATTGTTAGGTAAATTTCAATTTTATTTATTTTTTATTATTTATTTTTAAACTAAGAAATCTTATTACGTTATTTGCGCGATCATTTTTAGAAAATATAACATTAATATCTTTCTTAAGCGAAACATATACATCAAATTCATAAATTGATTTAAATAAATCTGAGTATCAAGTTTTGATAGAAATCCGACTTTCTGCGCCTTACAAGTCAATGAATTTCAAAAATACTATATCGCGATGCAAAACTGACGATGCATCACGATATAAAATTTCTTATATCGTCATGTCCTAGTAGTGTGTCTACCACTGCAAAAAAATACAATTCCAACTCACTAGTATATGAGACATGTTAACTAGATTCTATAATGGGGTACCTTTTCACAGTTGAAAATCGGCATTGTCTCTGACTTCTCTCCCCACATTGGGGACTTTCGGACGTGATTTGAACACGCCTTCCTAGACAGAAACTCCCACTTCGATTTGAAAACGCCTACTTCAATGGATGGTCCACATTGAACAGTTGACTTGCTACTGCTAATGGAAACACAGGAGTGACCATGACTGTGAACTTAATACAGCTCTAACGATCAGCATTTGAAAGTACGGTGAACTTATTACAACTCTCCCGGTTTCTCGCAAAGCAGCAATGAATCAACAAGTGGTATCCAATCATAGAATTCTATCACAGACAAATAATTCTGGTGGGAGAGTACTGTCTACCACTACAAAAATACAATTCTAATTCACTTTTATTTAAGGCATGTTAACTCGATTCTATGTTGGGGTAATTTTTCATACATGAAGGTTGACATTGTGACTCTTACCACAATATTCTAAAATAAATTTTATTTTAATTACCTGCTTCGGGAAGAAGAAACATTATAACAACTGCATCGATTAAAATCACAGTTCCAATACAAAAAAAGGGTAATTGGAAACCCCCAAGCTATAAAAAAAAGAAACATTAACGAAATAAATTTAACAATAACGCATAAAATAAAAATATTAAGTAATAAATTAAAATATGCCATATCTAATTTCAAACAGATACTCAAAAAATGAAATAGCTATATTATCAAGAAAGAAATTACATGTTTGCTCCACCTATCAATCCTGTAAATTTAAGTGAGAGTGCTAAAAATTTAATACAGTCTGACCTCTATTTAACGAAGTCGCTAAATTCCGATAATAAGTTCGTTATATGGAAAATGCGTAAAATAGAAACTCACCTTTTGAAATACTTAAACAACACAAAACAGGTTTTAAATTTATACACGCTAGATATAATTAAAGTAGCAATTGATACACCTTTACCTTGTAAACTAGTATCTACTATTTATTTTATAAATCTTAACCATAAAAGAAATCTGCATGGAAAGCAAGAATAGAGCAAAACATTATCCGGTGCTACACTATCACGCTACATATATTTTTAACTAATGAAAGCTAAATTTGTGCATGAAATTAAGGTTGCATTTATTTGCTGTATAAAATCATAACTGCAAAGTAATTTTAATCATACATTACCCCATGAGCTCTTAAGCTTAATTGCTACTGATAAAATCAGTTAATACGGTCTGTTCGTTTGAAATACAATCAAAAAGGGATTTTACTGCTTTCTCTGAAAGTGGCTTCGAAAATCAATTCAAGGTCATTTCCCCCATAAAATGTGTTAACAAGTTTGAAATGTTCTGAAATATTTTGAGAAATAGGGAAAGTGGATCTCAAAGAAAATTTCGTTAAATAGATTGGAAGTTCCAAAATGTTCTTGGTTCCTCGAATAAATTTGCAAAATAGAGAAATTCGTTAAATGGAAGTCCGACTGTATCTGAATCATGGTACAAAGCTTGAAATAATTTAAATGTGAAAAATATGTCAACGGAAGACCTACAAAATTTTAACTGCACTGGCAATTTTTATAACACATTTTATACTTTAATTTTTTGAAACAGCTGCAACAATATGAAGTTGAATAATGAATAGCTAATAATAAGTAGCTGTAATCATAATAATAGCAATAATAATAAATAGCTGTAGTAAAATAATAATAAGTAGCCAATAGCTGTAATAATAAATAGCTGTAATAACAATTAGCTGTAATAATAAATAGCTGTAATAACAATTAGCTGTAATAATAAATAGCTGCAATAATAAATAGCTGTAATAATAAATAGCTGTAGTAAAATAATAATAAGTAGCCAATTATAATAGCTGTAATAATAAATAGCTGTAATAACAATTAGCTGTAATAATAAATAGCTTCAATAATAAATAGCTGTAATAATAAATAATTGAAATGATTCTTTAAAATTGCGTTTCTGAAAGTGCTAAGAAAACATTTCACTTAAGAGAACTTTGGCTGTTTGTATTGATGCTTTCTCGTATTGTAATACAACAAAAAATCTTAATCCAAAAAATCAACTTCACTTTATCCCAAAATCTTAATAAGTATCTAATTTTTACTTTGTATTAAAAAGATATAAGAAGAATATATTAGTTCTGTCATCACGAGATCCATTGCAAACTCCATGAGCTAACTGCGTAGATAAACTGCTTTGCGAGATCTGTCCATTGAAAGAAATAAAAACTTTTTAAATCGGGTGAGCATGGTGGCCAGACAAACAATCCACCACTCCCAAACTATATCTTTGCATCTAATTAATCCTCGTGGATTGTTATACAATTCTCGATTTCTATAATGTGCCTTTCTTCCATTTAAGCTATAGCTATATTATTGAGACAGTTTGTATAGATTTAAAATATATAATTTTTGGCATAGATTTTATAACATTCAAAGCTATTATCTTTTGTTGTTTTTAGAATAATTCACTAATGATATTTCAATTTATATTTGGTTATTACAAACAAGAAATTAATTATTACATCAAAACCATTAAATTGTACTCAGTCTGCAGAGGATGCCATCTATTCATTTGTAACTTTTACTTGTAATATTGTCACAAATATTAAATTCAATTCCGTTTAGTAAATAGACGACAACAATTTCTAGCATGTTAACTTAATTTTCTTTTTATTAGAACTCATCAAATGTCTTTTAAAAAGGTAATAAAAACTAGTCTTACCTCGTATAGAGCACCTCCCAACACAGGTCCTAAAATATTTGCTACACCAAGACACATTTCTAAAATAGCCTGTAACAGAAACAAAAAAGTATTTTTTCTAGCAAAGATGCTCTGAAAGGAAAAAAGTTAAAATTGTTGGCAATATAATCGAGCATTTTCAGCCACTCTCGTACGTTTATTCATTTACATTTAATAGATATGTGTATGATATGGGGTGTCTTGGTATCACTCTTAATACTTTTGAAAATTTTATAACAGTAAAATGTTATAGCTTTAAAGTGTTATAACAATATCTCAAAGATAACTCTTAAATTATGTATAACAGTTAACTCTAACCATGACAAAATATGCTTATTTTGACCAAAAAATGCACTTTTTCTGAAGAAACATACCTCTTTCTCATCAAATTTTGATTTACCACCCCAAAAATAGGGGTTGATGAAACTTTAAAAAGCTTGTTTTTATAGTTTAACCACTGGTTTATATACAATGGTTTAATGTTTTGTTACTATAATGCTATTTTAATTTGTACAGTTCTCTTCGCATATTTTGATTGAGTTGTTAAATTATAATATTTCTTTCATAAAAAGTTATAAACCCTCAGCTGTAAGACAAAAACATAACATATTGAGGAATTTAGATAAAATAAATAGTTTTTATGAATTAGTTTGTTAATGATGAGAAAAGTTTTGAATTGTAAGGTACACAAGTTTTTATATATTTTAAAATTTCAATTTTTTTTAAATGAAAAATCTAGTTTTTAATTCGATAATTGTCATTTCATTAATAAAAAAAAGTTCTTAAAAATAAATTAAGAATTGATAATGGAATGGTGATGAAATGGTATTCCATTTTGTGAATATATCGCAATATCTACTCTACCTCATTCGAAATCAGCCTATAAAGAAAAAAGTTGAATCTCTTCTTTGATCATTAATTTGTGAAATTTAGAAGCGCTTTTGTTTTAGAGAGTTTTCAAACATAAAAACTGGTAGATATGTGGCGTCTATCAGTTTAGATAAAATAAATAACTATTTAGATAAAATAAATAATTTTTATTAATTAGTTTGCTAATGATGAGAAACGTTTTGAACTGTAAGATACTCAAGTTTTTAAATATTCCGAAATTTCAATTTTTTTTTAAAACAAAAATCTAATATTTCATATCATTTGATAAATAAAAAAGGTTCTTAAAAATAAATTAAGAATTAATAATGGAATGATGATGAAATTGCATTCCATTTCGTGAGTATATCGCAATATCTACTCCACGTCATTCGAATCAGCCTATAAGGAATTCCCTTCTTTAATCATTAATAATGGAATGATGATGAAATGGCATTCCATTTTGTGAGTATATCGCAATATCTACTCCACGTCATTCGAATCAGCCTATAAAGAATTCCCTTCTTTAAACATTAATAATGGAATGATGATGAAATGGCATTAAATTTTGTGAGTATATCACAATTACGGTATTAGAATGTTATGCTAAGGCAAAATCACTCCGCCTATATAGCCAGTTTTCTCAGTTTTTATTTGAGGATTAATTTATTTCATTAATCTGGGATCAGATTTACTACATAGCGTGGATTGATAAGGTTATGAATGTCGTAAAAATGATTATCGTAAACCACTTTTTCTTTATTTTACTAACCCGAGGTCAGGCTTACTAATCCTCGTAGGTTGACAAATTTACCCAATAAATAATTGTTTTTTATTTACTTGTTTTAAATTTAAGGTCTTATTTACTTTGCTGTTCGAGTTTACGAAATTAATTACTTAAAAGGGCAGCAATATGTAAATCTGTTTCTAACAATGCAGAAAATTAGCGAAATTCCATTTTTTATGGCGTTTATTCTTCTTTTTAGCCCTGCTTGATTGTCAGAATTTTGTGAAATTTGGTTTCAGGGGATTATTTTTGGGAGGATGAAAAATAATTTTTTCGCCCCTTCAGAAGAAGTATGTTTTGTCAAAATAAGCCGCCACGGTTACACTTGACTGTTAAATGAATTCTTTGAGATAACACTTAACGGAATCCAACTAATTGTTCAAAAGTTAAAAGGGTGATGAACAAAGGTGCAAAGTATATGCATATTAGTTCATTCTTACTGATTCATAAAAAGTCATTTCGTAACTCTGTAACAAAATAATATTGTACATTCCACTAGTTTTAATTTCAAAATTTAGATATTCGAATTCAACTATATTACATGTGTTTATCCGCATAAAAAGTACTTCAAAGTATTATTTAATTTTTAACTTATGAATTGTCTAGTAAAAATTATCAAACTTCGATCAAAATATTCTTAACTTTTGTCCAGCTTAGTTAAATACTAAAGATGAAAAATAAAAATTTGAAAATAATAACGTTTGTTAAATAAATAATAGCAAGAAACTGAAACGGTAAGATATTACCTAACTTCATTCGCTTCAAAAATATATAAAAAACACGCAAAGCAGGCACCCATTTTCCAGACTTTCTAGACGTTTCACATCTGTTTCTATTCTCCTACTGTCACTTCCTATTTATATATTTTTGAAACGAATGAAGTTTTAATCAGAATAAAGTTTTAATCGGGAAATAACTTTTGCTTCGAATTTCGCCGATTAATGCCTGTCTATATGAGGAATGAAGATAATATCGCACATATGCCACATTCTGTAGATCTATCGTTCGTTCATCAAGTGTTGACATTAGACTCCACCTCCTCGGACGCTGAGTTCATTTTAGAGTGGGAGTAAGAGGAGAAACATCTCCGCTCTTGAAATTGAGACAACCCTTAAAGCGTGCCAAACGCAAACAGTGAATTCTATTATACTACCTTTCGTTACTCTATCTAATTAAACATATTTTAAAATTAAAAACGGCTGTTTTACCAGCAAAATGTTTCAAAAAGGGCAAACTATTCACTCAAAAGAGAGAAATATCATCAAATTTATGAAATATTTAATGTTAAAAATATACACATAAAGATTGTGAAACAAATACTTTTATCATACAATCGCCAAATAGCAACCTTGTTCAGGATGGTTCACATCCTTCTCCCTAAAATAGCGAAGTAGTATCGTCGGATATCATGCGATGTAGGAGGAGTTAAATGCCAACTCCTGGTGAACGAACTATACCAAGGCGAGAGAACCATTCCTTCTGCAGAGGATTAAAACTGTGATGGTATATCTTAGGATTATTCTCAGACTATCGCCAACAGCTCATTGTGCATCTCTAGTCCGATATAAATAAAGTACTACTACTACTCAACTTAATCTATAACAATTGTATATAATATTTAGTACTGTATTTTTTTATAGCATATCTTCTGATTATTCTCAGACTATCGCCAGCAGTCCATTGTGCATCTTTAGTCCGAAATAAATACAGTACTACTACTACTACTTAACTTATTCTATAACAATTGTATATATTAAGTACTGTATTTTTTGTACAGACATATATTTTACTCACATATGTTGCTCCAACATTTTCTTGAAACTGTGAAGCAACTATTGTTCCGGCTGCTATTCTAATACAAGAAGCAGCTACACCTTCGCACGTCCTTACAACGAAGGCTAAAGCAATAAATTCGCCACTTTTCTTCACGAAATCCAGAACTCTAAGATACAAACATCAAATTCATATATATTTTTGAAAATAAAATTGATCACATATAAATCTTGGGTTCTAGACATCATTGTCCGTCTACTCTTAGATTAATTTTTTTTCCGAAGCGGAGAGCTTTAACTTTAGAATAACATAAAATCTTAACTTATTATGCTGTTGTAATAGTAAAAAAATTATACATATATACACATATAATTTAGAAATTATATATATATATAT